AGGGGGAGGGGGGAGAGTACTCTATGATTTGTTGGGCAGGAGTGTCCTCTGTGACTCAAGAACCCTTAGCCTTTACCACTCCATGTTCTGCTGCAATTTTGCCACCCTAGATATTATGGACGTATGTCTTTGTAATATGTGTGCAAAAAAAGCCTACACTTTGTGAGTTAAGTGCAACTTTGCATGGTACAAACCCGGCTTGTTTTAACAGCATTTGATAATGCATCAGTAATTGCAAGTTCACCAATATGTTTCATCCCTAGATTACTTAATCCATGAGTTTGGCCATAGGTCTCCTTTGATTTTTACCTCAGGGGAGAAGCTGATTTATGCAAAGACCATTTCTAAATGTGGTATCAGACATTGTTTTTGATGAATTGTTTAATACTTACAATTTCAGTTCACTCCATTATGTTTTGTTGTTCAGCATGGAAATTGAAGAACTGCATTGCTTTACTGTGTTGTTATTTGTGTGACACATTTAACACATTAAAGATTTAAAGTAACTTCACAGACTTTGTCTGTTATTTATTGCATGTTAAGTAATAGTAATTTGACCAAGTGCAGTACAATTCAGGGAGTAATCGCACAAGTAATTTCAATTTGAAAATGCAAGCAAGATTACTTCCTTAATTGTACGACATGAAGTCCAATTACTAATTAATCGTATCTGTGACAAATTTCGGAATTAAAAATGTCTTTTGAGAACTTCTTTTGAGTGCAAATGTCGGTAAGGTTTTTCAATAGTTTTGCAAACTGAAGGAAACGGTGTGAAGGAAGCCATTAAAGTGTGCATAATTGAGGTGCGAATCACATGGGTATCCAATTATAGTAGAATTATGGTGGAGGGTCGATTAGTGTCAAACTGTTTCATTGTGTGGGCAAATGCTGGGTTTATCTCGAGCTCACACACTGAGTGAAGGAGACTCAACTGCTGTACAATCAACTGAATCTACTTTATTGCTTGAATCAAGGTTCTTATATACATAATGGTAGCTAACTTATACGTGATACAAAATACAGGATAATGAGAGTTTCCTTAGGCACAAACAACGTAATTACAACATGACCACAATTTACAGATATGGGTAAACACTTACATAAATCCTGCGGAAGTAGGAGCTAATCAGAGCAGAATCCTATGCTTATCTTGTTGTTGGAGGGAACTAATGTTCCTGCGTGTTTTTTTAGATGGAAAGCATGAACTATTTTTTTTATATTCCACGCGACACGTAGTGGGAATACGGATACTTGAACAATAAAGGCTTATACATAGATAATATTTCCGGCTGTAATTATGTAATCACAGCAGATTGTTTGCCATGTTTTGTCACATTATGCTTAACTTTACAACACTTTTCCCATGCCTGAGTTATTGAGAAATATAACTAACTAGATTAATCAAAACTAGCGTTTTCCGATCAAAAGCGTGATTCATTAAATGTCTTTTGTTCAAATCAATAAACTTATAAAACTACTGATTAAGATACAAAGTCTCATCCATGTTGGTGACATAACTTCATGTCTAGGTCTGTCTGTGACGTATTGTATTGGTTGGTCATTTACTGCAGCATGCAGCTCCTGGAATTGCTCAGAACATTCAGATACTGTGACTTCCAAATCTGTTGCTTCATCCATGTACATGAGATCAGTTTCATCAGGAACATATGGAGGTGGAGCATGCAGTCTTCGCACTGGAGTGTTGGGCGCTGGGCTGGCAGTCTGATCAGGACCGTGCTGCTGATCCACGAGTTAGGTACACCGCCGAGTTTCAGGTGGTTAAAATGTACCACTTTCCTTTTCCTGGGATTGTCGATTGCCTGGATACGATAGGTCAAATTGCTAATCCTAGTCATCACAAGGTAAGGACCTTGCTATAGTGAGTGGAGTTTCTTAGTCTACCCATTCTTCACAGCTGAGGCATGCAGGAATACTAAATTGCCAACCTCGATTTGCTTTCCAGCAATTTGCTTATTGTAATGGTCCTTCTGACATTTCTGGGCAGCTCGAAGGTGCTCTCTGGCATGCTCATGGACTTCTTCAAGGGTATCACACATGTTCCTCACATATTCTGACACTTCTGGCTTGTGGTTTGGTTGTCATCCAAACATAGCATTAACTGGGAGCTGTACCTCATGTCCAAACAAAAGATAAAATGGAGTGTACTGTGTGGATGCATGTACATTGGAATAATAAGGCATCATCATCAGTGGCAGGTGCTCATCCCAGTCACATTGATGATTCAACACATACCTAGCCAACATGTCTTGCAAGGTACAGTTCATTTGCTCAACCATTCCATCACTTTCTGGGTGGTATGGAGAGGTTCTGGTCTTATCCATGTTGAACAGCACACGTTTCCTGGAACAGCCAGGCTTCAAAGTTTCATCCCTGGTGTGAATGGATCTTTTCTGGCACTCCATACCTGGAAATGACTTTTTTCAACAGCTTCTCAGCTACGGTCTTTGCTTCCTGGTTTGGAATAGCAAACGCCTCTTTCGATTCCATGAAATAATCTCCAACGACCACGATGTACTTGTTACGGAATTCGAACATTGGCAGTGGTGCTTGAGCTGTAGCCTGGGGGGATTTCCTCCTCGCACACTTCTCACACTGCCGACACCAATCTTCAACATTGTGTTGCATGCTATACCAGTAGAATTGTTTTTGCACTCGTTCAACGGTTTTGGTCACACCAAGGTGTCCAGCTGATGGGGCATCATGGAGGGATGAGAGGATATCTGGTACTAACAAGTAGGGAAGCACAAGTTGTAATCGGGTACGGTACCACAACCATCTTCGGTCAGCCACTTGCAGTAGAGCACACCTTTCTCCCACCGTAACCAGTTCCACTGTGCCCATAGGCTCTTGGTGGCTTTACTGGTTCCCTGTACTTCTCGCTGTGTTGGTTTGGCAGCCTGGTTCTGTTTCCAAAGCAGTATCTGTCCCAGGTTTGGTTCTGTTTCTTGCTTTGCCTGTAGCTCAGCTGCTGTCCAACTTTGAAGCCATGGGCTGGTACTGCAACTGGCAGGGATTCCTGGATAGTGCATCAGCATTCTAGTGCTCATTTCCAGGGCAGTGTTCAATCTTCGGGCTCTTTGAAGCTCTGAAGCCATTTAAGTGCATCATGGTCCGTCCTAACTGTGAAGGGTTATCCATACAGGTAATGGCGGAAACGCTTGATAGCGTACACCATGGCCGACATCTCCTTGGTGGTGCTGTACCGACACTCACAGTCCTCGAGCACTTGGCTGGCATTTGCAATCACTTTCTCATTTCCGTGTTGCCGCTGTAACATGACTGCTCCCAGACCATTGTCACTGGCATCACAATCCACTATGAATTCTCGATCAAAGCAAGGGAAGGCCAACACAGGAGCTGATACCAACTTTTCTTTCAGAACTCGGACGGTGAGGTTGCAATCTGGGCTCCACTTAAACTTCTCTGTTGTCTTAGCAGTAAGGATGTGCAGCGGTGCAGCAATCTCTGTAAATTTCTGGATAAATGTGTGGTAATAGGTCACTAAGGCAGGAAACTTCTGACATCGGTCACCTTCAATGGTATTGGCCACTGTTGAACTGTGTCAATCTCTGCTTGATGAGTGCTGAGATCTTCAGTGGAGATCACATGACCAAGGTACGGCACTCTGGGTTGCTACAGGAAACAATTTGATGGTTTCAGCTTCAGGCCTGCCTGGCAGAACCATTTGAAGACTTCTCTTAACCGCTCCAAGTGTGCTTCAAAGTCTCGACCATAAATAATGACACCGTCTGCCACTACAACCCGGCCAGGACAAAGGCCATAAGCCGCTGGAAGGTTCCTGGAGCATTGCAGAGACCAAAATTCATTACCTGGAATTCAAAGAAGCCATGGTAGGTCGTGAATGCTGTCTTCTCATGGTCAGCAACATCTACCTCGACCTGCCAACAACCATTGGCCAAATCCAGGGTTATGAACGCTTTCGCACCCGCCAACGCATGCAGTCTCATCTATATGTGGAAGGGGGTAGGTGTCTTTCCTGGTCATGTCGCTCAGCTCTTGATAGTCCACGCAGAAGTGTGTGGTACCGTCTTTTTTCTTACCCAGGACAATCAGTGTGGCCCACAGACTAGTGGAGGGTTGTACTACCCTGTGCTGCAACATGTCTATGTGTTGGCGTACTGTCCCGTGCTGGTGCATTGCTACCCTTCTCAGTGCTTGCTTAATAGGAGGGTGGTCTCCAGTATCAATATGCTGCTGCACAATATCTGTCCATCCCAGGTCTGCCAGGCTTGATAAGATGTCTGTGAACCTCATCTAGGAGGCTAGCGAGTTCTTTCTTCTGTGGGCTGGTCAGGTTCATGACGTCCAGGTCAAACTGTTCTGACACTAATGGCTTCATCTCTCCGCATCTTAGTTGCAAGCCAGTTGCAACAGGGTGGTTCCAAACCGCCATCTTCCAGCTGGCTGAAGGTACCAACAGATGTGTTCTGGTAGAGGGTCACTGGAGTTGGTGATAAATTGATGACACAGACTGGCACCATGTCATCTTTAGGCTGCGATAGCACTAGGGCCAACAAGAGATGATGTTCTTCGGCAAAACCAGGAGGTGGCTCAACTATCCCTAGTACAGTATCACCACACAAAGCCCCCTTAAACTTAGCTGGCAATATCATCTCATGATGACCTGGGACCACAACAGTTTCTGCCAAACTTATTTTAAAAACCTTTGGAGATTCATTTTTACCTTTGAGGCTCACAACCTCTTTGCCAGTTTTAATTGATTTCCCATCTAGGTCAATTGTGCAGTTTTGCTTGCCCAGGAAATCTGTCCCAAGCAAACAATCTTTGGGCACATCTGTGGCCTCCAGCACTGGGTGAACAACACTCACCCCACCAAAAAAATTTCCAACTCAGATTTTCCCTTAATGTCTAATAGTTGGCCATTTGCAGATACTACTGGTTCACTGACCATTTTCAATTTGATATGAATTTTTGCTTTTACTAGCACACAACAATGTACAAGCGTCACTGCTGAACCATTATCAACCAACAGCAGTGTCACAAGAAACACTATGAATTCCTGCAGCAGTATTGACATTTTCTTTAACTTTTGGATTCAACTTGTTTCCTGACCCATAGACATTTGTTCACAATCTGCCATGAAATGGCCCTTTTTATGGCTCTTGAAACAGAGCTGGAAACGAAAATCCCTTGTGCAGCTGTTGTTGCTGCAAAAAGTTAACCATGGCAGCTGTATTCTGCTTGAGGAGCTCCACGAGTTTGCTCTTCTTGCCCTTTGACGACTCCTGTACAACTCGAACCGACCAACCTTTACTACGATGTGACTCGGCCTTGTACATTTCCTTGATTTGCAAGGTGGACTGCCTGCCTAATTGAGCATTTTTGGACCAGACTCAGAGTTTTATCCATATTTCTCAATCCTCCAACACATCAATAAATGGGGCGTTAGCAAGACTATCCTGCAAATCAGGCACTGCCTCCAGATAGGCTCAGCTGACAAGTATTCTCAACGAATTGGCAAGGTCTGACAATTTCTCATCCCGCTCGCAATGCCTGGCACGAAATTGGGCCTTGTGTAGTTCGACCCCCTAATTTTGGTACAAATTTTTTCCGTAATGCCTCCTTCAGCGTGGCATAGTTTTCCCACATGCCCGTTGCCAGACTTTGAAGTTGGAGCAAGGCAGTTCCACGCGCAGTTACAGCAAAAAACTACACTTTTCGTTCATCGCTCCACCCGTTGATAGCCACACAAGTCCCATTCTTCATTGTCTAATGCTGCGAATGATTCAGGCATAGCTAAGGGCCTATTTTGTGACACTGAAGTCGATGTACCCCAGCCTGAAGGGGTACCTGAACCTGAAGGGATGGCACTATCACTTTTGGTAACCATAATTTAGACTTAAAAAACAAGAAACTGCAACCGCGGGGGTCATCGATAAATTATGGGCGAGGGTCGATTAGCGTCAAACTGTTTCAATACTTGGGCAAACGCTGGATTTATCACAAGTTCACAGGCGGAGTGAAGGACACTCAACTGCTGTACAATCAACTGAATCTACTCTTGCTTGAATCAAGGATCTTATATACATAATGGTAGCTAACTTATGTGTTACAAAATACAGAGGATAATAAGAGTTTCCTTTGCATAAACAACTTAATTACAGCATAACTGTATAATTTACAATTTATAATTTACAGCATAATTTACAGACATGGCTGAACACTTATGTAAATCCTGCAGAACTAGGAGCTAATCAGAGCAGAATCCTATGCTTATCTTGTTTTTGGAAGGAAGTAGTGTTCCTACATGTTGTTTTAGACCAAAAGCATAAACTAGTTTTCTATATTCCACGCGACACATACAAAGGATATTTTCATGGATACTTTAACAAAGCCTTATACATAGATCAGATTTTTGGCTGAAAATATGTAATCAAAACGCATTGTTTGTCATGTTATGCTTAACTTAACACAATTACAGGTGTCCAATTACGAAAAGTTCAAATTGGATACCTGTAATTGGACACCCGACTGATAGGTCTGCAGAGAACCAATCACGAGAGGAGTTTGTTCTAGATACGATTAGGGAATTTTATCACAGAACCCGCTATTACTGATGTTCACTATTATGGACGCTAAACGGCATCCTTAAGCATGTCTGCTATAACAAGAGTTGACTGTACTTATATAGAAGGGACTCGCGGAGGCAAAAAGCTAGATGGGAGACGTTGTAAGTGAAACTAGCAACAGCTAGTTTCACCCTTAAAAAACAAGGTGAAACACACAAAAAGGAAACAAAATTCGGAAGAACAAACCTGACGGGTATGATTCTACAGTCTGTAAAGGACAAATTTGTTGAGAAACTAAATCCACAGGGGTAAACCCGCTCTCACAACTGAAAGGTCCGATGAGATGGAACAAACTGATAAGATAAAAGTTTGGTGCAGATTAATTGGGTGTGACCAACTCAGAGCACATTCAAGTGAATGCAGCAAGACAAACTTTCCATCAACAATTAAATTCTGCAGCACAATCCTGCATTAAAAATACTAAGTCCCACAAGTCAAACTTGCTATAGCAACCAGAATCAAATGAGACAAATTCTCTAAAATGACCAAATCTTCCATCACAAACCGACCACAGTGGCATAAACTGACGTGACAAATTCTTTCTCAACTAATTTTTGTGAGACGTTCTCTGACCAGCTAATTAAGCCCACATGACACACTTGCTGTAACAACTAAATTTTGAGAGACAGTATCTCCTTATAAATAACAACTGAATCCTGTCACACAGACCCACTATAACAGGTAGATCCCGCAAGACAAATCCACTGTAACATTTAGGATTGATGACACAAAGTTTTTACGAAGTTTGGCGAGACAAACTCGCTGAAACAACTCGACCTTCGGAGGAAACTAAACTTGTCGAGACAAACTTGCAACAACTAAATTCCATGCTGAGCACACCCTTTGACTTTTGTAACAGTCTTCACATTGCAAATGTTTCCACATCAACTGACACTCCCCGTGTTCTCTTGTCCACCACTTCTAGGTCCACCACCACCTTTGTGGTCTCCTTAACCCCTTTACTGCTAGCCCCCATGTTACCCTTTGTGCCAAGCCTATTTTCCTCTTTTTGAGGTATTTCAAGTTGCCTCAAATCAAATGTAATTAACTCTTTAACAATAGAACCTGGCCCAAGAAAAGTATACATTTTCTGAAACTGATATAAAAAACTTTTATTTTGAGCTACAAAACAATTGAGCAAGTCAGCATTGATGAATAGGGCAAAGTAATCATGTGGTTTGGACGAGCCTTCTTCTTATAGGACTGTATTTCATAAACGTCTATGAGACCGTACACAACTAACTTGCATGATAGAAAACGTGACAGTTGAATTGACCACGAGGTTTTAGCTAACAGAACAAACTGCGCATGACAAATGTGCTAATGAGCTAAACAAATCAAGCGTGTCCATTCCGCCGGCCTTGATATAATCAAGATAAAATGTAAATGCTACTTAATAGTGTTTTCTTAATAGCGTTCTTTGTTCTAATAAAGTTACTTGAAAATGTTTCTTTGAGTTCATTTGGTTCCTTATGTCAACCTCAGAGAGACCCTGGGAATGAGGTTGTCTTTATGTTAGCAAGCACAGCTTTACAATTGGGCGGACAAATGTTCTGGTTTTGGTTTTGACAGTGACCACTCTGACTAACTGATCTGGACCAGGATGGGTTCTGATGATTCGGCCAAGGGACCACTGGCATGGTGGAGTGCGATTGTCCTTAATGAGCACAATGTCATTGATGCGAAGACATCGTTTGGGTCGCCTCCACTTATTGAATTGCTGAAGGGCAATTAGATATTCGGTTGAACACCGCTTCCAAAAATGCTGTGTAAGAGCTTGACAGAGTTGCCATCGCTTCAGGGTTGAAATCGGCGCTGTTGCAACTTGATCAGGCAGCGCTTCGAGTGGTCGGCCAATTAGAAAATGACCAGGAGTAAGTGGGGCAATTCCATCATCATTTGAGTCGAGTGATGTGAAGAGAGGTCTGGAGTTGAGACAAGCTTCGATCTGACAAAACAGTTGTCATCTCTTCAAAGGTAAGTTTACTTTCGCCAACTATTTGCTTTAGATGACGCTTGCAGGCCTTCACCCCATTTTCCCACACTGAGCCATGATGAGGGCCTGTTGGTGGGCTGAATTTCCATTGAATGCCTTGTGCAGAGCAGAAATTCATAATAGATTCTTGTGAGGCTGGTTGTTTAAGACATTGCTCAAGTTCCTTGAGATCCTTGTTTGCACGATGGAAGCAAGATGCGTTGTCACTCCAGATTTCAGTTGGTTTTCCTTCTCTTGAAACGAAACGACGAAAGGCAGCAAGAAAGGCTTCTGCTTTTAGATTCGATACTAACTCAATGTAACAGGATTCAGTTGCTAGACATACAAAGATGGCTACATAGGCCTTGCAGTAGGTTGGTCTCTGAGTAGTTCCAATCTTCAGAGTCAGAGGTCCTGCATAGTCAACTGAGACTCTTTCATTGGCGAAGCTTGGAAGGAGGCGTGCAGCTGGAACTTGGCCCATGAGTTGAGCTGTGATCTTGGGAGGTGCACGCTGACATGTCACACATTGACGTGTGCACTTGCGCACAGCTCTGCATGCACCAACAATATGGTAGAGATCTTGAAGAGATCCTAAAGTGAGTTTTGGACCAGCATGACACAGACATTTGTGTTTACTCTGTATAATCAGTGACGTGAGGTGGTGCCTTCCATGGAGGATCAGTGGA